TTATATTTAATGAAATAAAAATAATAATTGTAATTATAATTGTAATTTCCTAAAAAAATAGTAAATTAAACTATAGATACATTTTTTTGATTTAAAATAACTCATTGGTGGGCCAGACTGAAATCACCTGTGGGCTGGATGTGGCCCACAGGCCGGTAGTTGAATAACCCTGTCTTAAGGTAAAACCACTTAACATGGCGCCAGACTAATTCTGTTGCAATAATTATACCCCGCTCCCGTTTTATTATTTTATTTATTTTTTGTTAGAATGTAATGATTTTAATGCAAAATAATAGCTTTTAAGTCAAAAACATGTAATTTCCTTTCAAAAAAACTGGTTCAAGTGAAATATCTTCGTGTCTAAAAATACAATGTTACATTATGCACTTTGTCTTGTTTCTGTGTGGCCTTTTATTTTGTGCTAACATCACATCTGTGCCACTGTGGGTACTTTAATCTTTTATCAGCACCAGAATAGATTTTTTCCACCCTTTTGTTTGGTCAGTTTGACAGCTTTGCTTGTACAAAGACCGTAAGGAGATAAAAGCGCCCACGGATAATCAGCTACACTCCGTCAGGACCGCGGCATTCCAGCAAATGCATTCATTCATTTGTTAAAATCTTCTTTGCCCAAGTGTTAATTATAAAGTAATTGTTATCATTGTTACTCATACGGCGAGACATGGGATTGTGAATTTTTCAAAGCTTCAGCTTGTGAGCGACTCYCTGGATGTGTCTCAGTGGTGCATAAAATGTCTTTGGAGTTATGTGATGTTTAACGTTATTGGTAGTTTACCAGTAAAATATATCAAGAGTATTACTGTTGAAATGTAGCAATTAAATGTGCTTTTATGTGAGTTTAAATTGTTTTGAGGAAATGGTTGCACTGATGGAAAAAAAATATTTAAATCAAAGTTTGACTAAAAATATAGTCTAAGTAGGAATTAGAGAATTCCTAAAGGGAATAGAAATGACTTTTTAAAACTTTAATTAAGTGGTATATGACAGCTTACTCAGATCCACCAAAAAGGTGAATGTTCCCACAAACCCTTTGTACAAACGAACATGTAGTGCTGAATAAAAAAATTAAGGTGATAGCATCTATTCAGAAATAATAAAATAAAAGCCTTTTTTCAAGCAGGGATGTAGAATAAATCTTTCCCTTACTGTCCTTATAAGCATTTACTGGTGATCAAGCAGGAGGTGCTGTCTCGCTTTGCTAATGTTCCAGATCAGCAGATGCAAATTTCAAACAGGGTCAGTTTTTCAGTCACCGAGTCATTTCATTAATAAAAAACAAACGAAATATAGCTGATTTAGTGAAGAAGAAAAAAACAGGAAGGAAGTTTGAAGAGGTCACCTAATTTAAAGAAGAGCAAAATGCAAGGAAATAATCCCTCTAAAAAATGACTTTGTCAGAAAGGTTAGTGACAGTAAATATTTTAGCCAACATGCTTGCATTACTCAGACATAGGAGTGAAGGCAGGGCAGGAAAATGTCACGTTCAGAACTAAAGAAGAAGTCAAGAAAGTATAATTTATTAAAGAAGGAAATAAATTGTTTTGTCTGTAATTGTTGTGCTGTATTGTTTAGCATCATGTGCATTGCTAAATTCATAAAATTTGTGGGTTTGCAGTTCTGTATAAAAATGGTTATTCACTTGTTTGTACCTCTAATTGAGCTTTACTGATRTTTGGACTAAYGGTGTCCCGATACCAGTTTTTTTCTCAAACCAAGTAAGAGCACAAGTARYAGTACTTCAYTTTGGGTACTCACAGATAGGGAGTCCCGATACAAGTATTTACAGTTAGAAGCTAAATATTACACATCACATTTTTTTTTTATTCAGAACAAGGCTTTCCTTCCTTATAGGCCTGACTGGGTCAAATCAAATATACAACGTTGCAAAAATTTTAAATAAATAAAAATAGCAAGATTTTCTTTTAACTTGTGTAAGTTTCTTAAACATAAAACTGACTCATTTTTCACTTGAAATGTAAATTGTAACATATTTAATGGGGTATTGATACAAGTATTTCGGAACTGCTATTGGTATCGATTCTGGGTATTGAGTTAGTACTTGTGGTGTTGGACACCACTAAATATTCCTG